GCTTGTCATTTTGTGTGTGGGGTATTGCTATGTATGACAGACATCAGGTCTGCTTTGCAAGAGGCTCGTCCCACACATTCCACGAATATCCTGCAATCTGGTAAGTCTATCGTTATATTTTGTCAAATTAGATATTCTACTTATTTCCCTACTTACGAGCATACATCCTCTGGCTCAGCAGTATTCTTCTCTCACGGGATCCCGGTATTGTCGGTTTTCGTTCTCTCTAGAATCTTCCTTAATCGTATTCAAGGGTTCACGCCATATCTCTAGATTGCAGACGGGTGGGGTTAAGAGAGGCGAGCAAAAAAACCCTAACAATATGTAGATATTATTCTCGTTGTCGAATAAGCCCTCTCGTTGCCCCATGACTTGACCCTATTGCCTGCAGAACCCGTAAGCATGAAGCTGTATGCCAGAAATAATTATTCTTAGCACTACTATTCCGTGACAAGTTGCTTTGCCTTGTACTTATCTTTCATGTCTGTCAAATCCAGAAGAAATTCAAATTCAGTTAGCACCAAATAGGTAGTTTAGGTCATAAAACCAGTCCAGTCTTGAGAGCCTGTGTACCACCGACCATTACCACTATTACCGCCGAGATACTCAGCAGAACCTCTCTGCAAAGTCCCGTCCTGACAAGCTGTGCGTACCCTAGATGCCGATGTGAACGACTCAGCATCCCACCAAAAGACTTTCGCAGTCACACTCTAGTAGTCTCATGCCAACACTCTAGTCCTTATCCCTCTTTCTTCTGTCCTCTTCCTCGTCCTACTGCTTCACAACAATCTTCACAACATCTTCACATTACAGACTTTTAAACGAAGAGACCTCATCCTAATAACATCAATCGCATCGGATCCAGAACACAAGACCCTATCACTTAACCTCAAGTTTAGAAATGTTCTAAAGGTAGGTATTGTACTTGCCAGATTTCTCCTCCTTCAAATCTCAAAGCCGTGTGAGGTAATAGGTGAAAGAAACACACTAAAATTGAATCAGTTCCAGAACACAAGGCCCTTTAGAACACAATAGTCAATCAAATTATACCAACATCATAACAAATCGCAACAAACCAAGAGGTACTTACTCTCTCCTCGCAAGAATGCCTATATATACATGCTGACATTTTCTTCAAGTGCCCTCCATGCATATCACAAAGATTATCACGAAGTTCAAACAATTGTTATTGATATATTACATCAACGTCTTATCTGACGTTTATTAACACTTATGACAATGTTAATCCACCAGACTCTCCCAAAGTTAGAAAAGTCAAGCAATACTAGCTACTCCGCTAAGGAGATTGCGGGGTGGGAATGGAACCAAGGGCAGCATCAGCATCAGCATCAGCATCAGCATCAGCATCAGCAAAACATTGCGGTGCCATACCCACTCTATTGTGATGGGGCCCCTTGTTGAACTAAGGGCTGGGTGAGGGAGAAGCAGGCACAACAGCAACAATCGTTGCGGTGCCGTACACACTCCATAGTGGTGGACCTGCTCTTTGTGTAACCAATTTCCGGGTGGGGAAAGCAGCAGGTACAGCAGCAATAACCGATCTGTACCGTACCCACTCCATAGTGGTGGACCTCCCCTTCGTGCAACCTTTTCCGGGTGGGGAAGAAGCAGGTACAACAGCAACAACCGCTGCGGTGCCATACCAACTCCATTGTGGTGGTGGACCTCCTCTTGCAACCAATTCCCGGGCCCGGTCATGTCTCAAGTTCCATTGATCCAGCTTTCACAACTACATAAACATCGTGATCGAGGCCTAGCCAGGTACTTGTGCACAAGGTATGTAGTCCATACTCCTATGCATGTTTGTGTCTGGTTAATTGACATACTTTCTCTAGTATAGGAACAAGAGATGAAGCATAGAAGTTCGAGAAGGTCTTATATGCTATGGCTTTCTATAAACTTTTAATGTATTAGTATTTCCGTGTCAGAACGATTTATTCCTAGTTGAATTCCAAGTAAATGGACACGCTCAGTAGCGCAGGCTAGTGAGTCTCTGATGTTCATCTCGAGGTATCTATCCTTTTTCTTCTTCAACCCAAGAGGTCCGGGAGTTAGATCTAGAGGAGGGTATTTGCTAATCGTACTTGATGTTCAAAACAGATATCCAGTGTGCCCAACAGTTGTACGCACCTAGAAGGCTAGAATTCTTGACTGCCACGCCCATGGTACTACAGGGAGTCTCCCACCATCAGTTTCACCTCATAGTCGCCCGGGGCCAGAGCATGAGGAGGAAGCCGGGCTTCACCGCGCAGACTGGGAGACTTTGCAGGCCGCAACTTCACCGTGCACAGACTCGGAGACTTTGCAGGCCGGGTCGTTACCGTGCACCGACTGGAAGACTTTGCCATAGGCGCCTTCCACGCATTCGCATCATACAAAGTTAGACACTTTCTTGTTTCTGCAAAGAGAATATTAATTTTTAGTAACTCGAGATACCTAGTCGTGGATGGTTAATCTCTGTTGGAGGGTCGAATCGAGAGTCAAACTGGGCCAGCTGCTCTCAGTCACACCAGCTTCTCCCAATCAGACGAGTCCACAAATCTCAGGGTTTAGCTGGAAACTGGAAATAGAGAAGTCAAGACATGCTTCCGGGGCTGTTATGGATGGGTGCGTTGTTCATGGCCTGTGTGAAGGTTTTTCCTTTGTTACTTATCAGCATTTTGAAATACCTAGAGCCAAGCACCAACGACAGAGTGGATTTCACCCGACCAAGCGGCGATGCATATCTTCTGAGGAGGGCTTCCTCAAACATCTGGTACGCACTCAACCCGGCAATAGTCACATCCTTTCTGTTTTCTGTCAGTATTACTGACTCATTGATTTAGGGCCTACAACATCGGCAGCATTCTCCGGGCACAAATCAGTACTCGTATTCAAACGATCTTGCCAAGACCAGCCAGCCAATCTGCCATGCGAACTATCCGCACAGTACGTGGGAACACTCTACAATGAGGTTTAAAAAAAAAAAAAAAAAAAAAAAGGAACACGCAGGTTATCTTATCGTAGACGAAGAAGGAGCCAAATTGCTGGGGTTCATAGCTGTGTTCTAGAAGGTGGGAGATTAGAAAGAAAAGACCTGTCAGTACTAGAGCGGGGCCAGATATCGCGAATGATACGTGAGTGCTTTCCGCCCTTTCGGTATAACTCCTCTCCATCACTGCGTTCCAACACCAGGGGAAATTCCAATAGTACCTAGCTAATATATCTTGTAGATTCAGCTATAACAAGGCCCTCGGTCGCAAGCCCCGCCAACTGTGGGTGGTTTGAGCCTGGAAATATATAAGTTAATAACCACTTCAAATTCGCAAAATCAGTTCGAGAATGGATTGTTATTATTTGTTGAATTCTTCCCATTGTTGTTTCACTTTCAGTTGATTTAAAAAAAGTACCCGTTCTTCTGTCCATCTATTGTGTTGTCTCTAACTCTATTATGAGTGAGTGACACCTTCAATAACCTAACTGTTAGGCCTTGTCGTTGTTTCCGCCACTACCTCGGGCTTGGTAGCCCTGAGCAGTCACTGCCAGCCTTCCCTTTCAATCCCTACACAACCACCCTTCTACGTACACTCAATGCCACTTCTACGTACACTCAATGCCGCTTATATGCCATCCCCCAACTTTTCATCCTACTCTCGCTTCATGCAGGACAAACACTGTCCAACACCTCATCTTGGATGCCCTCTTGCTGGATATTCTCCTATATAGCTCTAGAACCCCAAAGCCAGGAAGTAATGCCATTTCGGGCACCCCGTCTTGATGAATATCGATCTCGACAAGAACCTGAAATTTTAAAGCCTATTCGTCGTGTGTACTGTATCCCTAGATCTCATGACCATGTAGCTAATGTGCATCGCTAGTTATAGTTTGTACGACGGGACAGGGATCTAAAAACAGGATAATTTACAACAGAAAGAAAGAAGTATACGACAAACGACACAAAAAATAAATTTAAATTATTGTTTGGTCCAGCCGCGCGAGGACTTCAAATATATCTGGAGATTAGGGCCCGGGGGTGGAAAACACAGAAAAGTATGTAAATATCTTTAGCACTCCAACTGGGGGAATATACAAGAGCTAATAGTGATAACAGGCTAGAAACTAATTTCATAAACGATATATCTATCCTCTTGTATATTGGATAAGCCTCCTGTGGTCATCACTTACTTCAATCCTACTTTACCAACCTTCTTATGCAATCGCCAATCCTAAACATCACTATCGGGTACTGTGATGTCATTCTTATTTCCCCTATCCGCCGCCCAAGGTATTCCCAGCAACAAAAAAAAAAAAAAAAAAAAAAAATAGAAGTAGATTTCCAGGCGCATAGTAAGACCCTTCTGGCCAACTTGACGGCGTTTGTGATACCTGGCGCTGGGAGTACCAGATGATAACCTGGCTAGACCGGGAATTTCGGGGGGAAGCGGTGGTCTGTTGCCTCTGGATTTAGTGCGGAATATCTATTTTTACAAGCTGGGTCTTTGTGGATGGATATGGATTGATTTATTCCAATCCTATTGCCACATGATTGCCTGGCTTGGTGCTGCTTGCCTTGGCTAGAAAAAGGACATTGGGGAAGGGAGGGAGATGTACAAATAACAAGCAAATATTTTCTTTCTATACAAATCAGGGACCATGAATGTGATGGGGTGACTGACTACTGGAGGACGTGCCGTATACATACAGTATGTGGTGGGGGGTGGGGAGATCATAGTTGAGGGTAATGCAAGAGTTTGATAGTAGTATAGTAAGTATATATTGTATGTAGTAGGCTGGTAAACAATTGGGCACTTGTAGTGGATCTATAGATAAAAGGATGAGTAAAAAATAATCGGGCACTTGTGTTATCATCCAAAGGATTTATAGATAGAAGGATGAGTAAAAATTGGAGATCTCACCCCAAGGTAGCAAATCCTTTTTTCTTCATGTGGTAACCTCGGAAAAAGCAATATGAAAAAAATAATAAATAAAATAATAATAATCGGTACTAGAAAGACTCGAACTTTCAACCTCCCGGTTTTTGCGCACTAGCTTGGGTTGGGCCCAATAACAGCCGGACGCGCTAACCAATTGCGCCATAGAACCATTTTCATGGGCGTCGTGGTCACTTTCCTGTCTGTGTCATGGAAACCCCAGAGCAAGTTGTCAACCCCTGCAGAGAACACAACCCCCACGCATGCGACTCTACCTACGCCATTACACACACTCATCACGGATCACGCACACGCACCGCACACGCACACACTCACCACGCACACGCACACGCACATAAGTATACACGCATACTAAGCATGTAGGTAGGGCACAAGTCAGGGAGGTTCATTCGATTTTCTAAATTTGAAGGGGGGCCAGTTGCCAGCCAGCAACGGGTACGGAAACCCTGCAGTTTTGGCCCCCCCTTGCCCCTCCCCTCCCCCAGCAGCTGCGGGCAGCCCACGCCCTTTGGCTTCCCTACGTATGGACAGTATGCATGTACTAAGTACTCCGTAGATGAGGGGGGGTGACGATTCGTGAGGTAGTGGACACGTCAGAGGCGGCGGATGGTTGGTCCAGTCTTGCTGGAGATGCTTCTTTTTCTGGTTTACATTTTTAAGTATTTTTATTTTTATTTATTCATCTGCGCAGCGTACCGGTACAGTGGCAGTACTGCAGTACTGTACCATACCTACCTACCTACCGGTCTGGTACTCTGCCTCGAAATTCAGACGAGTTTGCACTGAGGTCCCCTCATTCTCCTCCGCACTCTCACCGCACCGTCAAACATTATACCCCCCCCCCCCCCACTCTTCTTCCCCCAGATCTTCATGGCGAATGCATACCAGCCCATCCGCGCCGGCAAGGGCATCTGCGGCCGCTGGAACGATACGTGCACGTGCGCCTCCAGAGTGCTGGAATACACTTGCTATTACTCGACAATTTCGCCCACGACCTATGCGCTGCCTGCACCCTCGACCACACCTTTCGCCGGGGCTCTGCCCTCCGCTGTCGCTGCCCCGCATACGCAGGGCCCAACACCTCCGACGCAGCCAGACTTGCCAGGGTGAGCCCCCTCCTGTTGTTGTTGTTATTGGCACGCGCATGCCTATGGCCCCGCTCTTGTGTGCTGTGGTGTGCTGTGGTGTGCTGTGTTGTGGTGTGCTGTGCTGTGCCATGCTCTGCTGTGCTGTGTGCGGTGTGGAAATTCATACGTCGTACATTGCATACCCCCCCTCACCCCTCCCCCTAATAATAAACCCACCCCGCACCCCTCCCCCCTCCACCACCTGTATCCCATTTGTCGAGAGTTATACCTACCAAAAACTAACCTTGACTTTGTCGTATCAAGTACTTTTGCTTACCATTAATAGTCCCACCGCTGCCGCAGAGGAAATGCGATATTCATCACCCTCATCAAGCTCCTCCCCCGACACACACGACTACAACAACATCCCCACCACCTGCTTCTACCATACCTCCCTCTACCAAACCTCCTCTCCGGAAAAGCTAGTCCTCACACCGGTTATCCTTGCCCCCACAACGCCAGCTGCGGCAAACAAGATTACGAAAAGGTCAACAGAAAAGAAATCGGCTGAAATGCGATCCTGCGCCGGCGCGCGATGTACGCTGTTTAAACACTCTTCGTCGCTGCCGACGGGCATGAGAGAGTGGGATGTGGATGCCTTGGGCGGGACGACCGGGTGGTTCTTGCAAAGGCTTATTGAGGTGGCAACGACGGGGAATGAGCTGCCGACGGTGCCGAGTGGGGGGGAAGTGGTTGGGAGGAGGGAGAACAAGGTCGGGGGGATGGAGCTGGATGGGGATGTGGATGTGGATTGCGTCAGGGAGCAGTTGGAGAGGTTAAAAACTGTGGATGCGGCCGAGAGGAAAGATGTACAGGTGGTTAAGGCGCAGGCGCCGGGAGAGGAGGTTTTGGCAATGGCAAGGACCCTTGAGAATTTGACTGTATCGAATGGATCACTACCTCCGACCACCACCACAACCTCCACCGCCGCCACATCACCATCACCATCATCAACATCAACCCTCTCTGCTCTCCCCTCAAACCCCTTCTCCGCCCTCCCCTCAAACCCCCCCTCTCTCCCCCTCCTTGACCGCAACCCCAACCTCCTCGCCACCCCAACCAATCAAAAATCCCCTCCGCGCAGCCGCAAAACCATACTACCCTTCTTCTCCCGTGCTCTCTGCCCGGAGATATTCACCGAATAATTCCAGCCACAGCAGTTACCCGGGGTACAAGGGACTATCAAGCTCGCCCGGGAGCGGGAGCGGAAGCGGGATTAGTCGTCGGCTGTGTGTGGATCGGGTTGATCGGGGAAAGGACAAGGAACGTGTATACAGCGGGCAGTATACATGGAGTGGGTACTCGAGTGATGGGAGTTATGACCATGCCCCAGCTTCACCATCACCACCAACCTCCTCCTCCTCCCCCTCCTCCTCATGTTCATCATCACAATCTCACTCCCGAGTTCCACATTCAGCATTATACTCCCCTTCATCGCCATCGCTATCTTGCTCAACGCACGCCCCCTTTCCGTCAAGCTCAAAAGTCCACGCCAGCCGAATCGGAAAACGCCGCGCGGCTTCGGGTGGCACGGGGGGTTCATCGGGGTTAAATCTGTCGGTGAGCGCGCTGGCGTCGCTGGGTCAGGCGTCGGGGGCGGGAGTAATGCAGATGCATATGGAAATGGGGGTGGTGGTGATGGGTGTGCGGAGGGTAGGAAGGAGGGCGCCGTCGCCAGAGGTTCAGGTTGCTGCTGCAGTGGAGAGGAAGGATTCCGGATCCTGTGAGATGGGGATGGAGGATAGGGGGAGGAAGATGCTCGGGATGCATTCGGGGGATAATGATGATGTGCCGATGATGGATGGGGATATGGATATGGATGGGGACTGGGAGTTGTAAGTTGGGGGTGGTTAATGAAAAACGAACCGGAGTCGTTTCTCTAGGATTTTTTGATTTCCTCTTTGGCACGTGGATTGGGCTGGGGATGGAATTGGGTTTGTGGGTTGGGGTTTGTAAGTTGGGATTTTGGATTTTGATTTTTTGATTTGTATGAGATTTGAGGTTTGGGGGTTTGAAGGTTTGGGGGTTTGAAGGTTTGGGGGTTTGGGAGTATATATGGCCTTTTTTGGGTTAGAGTATATATGGCCTTTTTTGGAGCGGACGAAATGGTTTTTAGAACGATGAATGAATGGAGTTACCATGAATGAATAGGATTGCGTGAGTGAGTGAGTGAGTGAGTGAGTGGGTAAATGAGTGATTACCAACCCACCCCAAATCCATACAATATTTCTTTTTTTTCCATCCCCCAATCCATCATGGCGGGTGGGTGGTAAACCGAGTTTGTAACGTCATACGTTTTTTTTTCTTTTTTTTTTTTTCTTTTGTGGGTCCCGGGAAGGGGGGAAGAGATCATTTGTAGTGAGGCTATATACGAGGCTATATACAGTCACATGAAAAAGGTCTTCTGCATCAAGGCTGGGCGCGGCTCCGTTGCATACAACTGACTTGTAAAAGAGGGGAGATATAATGGCCAACGGTTAGTAAATCGTGAGTAGACTCAGCAGTACCCAGTGCGTGTTACTATCTCAGCGATGTCAGCCACTCGGATAAGCAGCGGTGAGAAATGTCAGATCTAGAGAAGGGCAAGATCGTGGCCTATTGGGAATGCCAGATGCCACTCGATGAAAAAGCATTATAGGAATCTATGCCATGTCGGGTGGCAGCTGTGGTATACAAAATATTAGGGATTTCCATTTTATGTTTATGTTCATGTATGCAATATGTTTATAGAATATGGGTAAATACCGATTTAGCCGCGGCGTTGGCTTAGTCTGGCTCTGCGCGCTCAGAAGAACCTTTTTCATGTGAATGTGAAAAAAATCTTGATATTTGATAATATTTGATATATATATCTTGAGCCTCTATTCTAGTAGTTTTTTATAATAACTCTAGCAGTATAGAGTGTTTAGAGGCGGATAACGTTTCTTGAGGCTTTTGAGGAAAAAAAGATTCGATAAGGGGCAACCCTTATACCAGCCAGTAGAGGAAGTTTTTACTATCCACTGCCCCCCCCCCACCAGCCATTCTGAACTCATCGAGCATTATTTTGAGGGTCCTTGATATAAGAATAGGCGATGTTTCTCGGTAGAGGAAAAAGAAAAGTGTGCCCCTGATTTGACACGGGGACTTTTTTCACATTAAGCATTATTGATGAGAGCAGGAAATCCCCTCGGAGATAACGTCAAGGGTGCATGGAATATGCAGCCAGGTGATTTCAGATATTAGATCCGTATTTAGGGGAGGTTGCTCTGGATCTATAGTCAATACAATACTTTACCGCAAAGTATACTTCTACATGCATTATCCTCAATAACACTAAAGATGAGCTACCTATTCAGTGCTCTTGCACAACCCCTTACCAACAGTGTTGGTCCTCTGATTGGCGATAACAACATAAAACACCCCGCGCGTCTGGCCCCCCCGCACAATTCTCGCCCAGACCATTATGTTTCCTATTACCCGCGGAAACTGATCACCACGATTACCAATACTAATGCCCGATCGCCTCATCCTCGGCTTAAAGCTTATATCCTCAGTCCTCAAACTTAATACTACGGAATGGCTCACCGAGAATGGGCCCCGGTGATAATTCTCTTCCTCAAAGCCGAACTTGACGGTCTTAGGTCAATATAAAAACATGCTCTGTCGTCCATTTGTGTCAACAAAAACCCAATGTTTGTAACACAATGGCCGGATATGACCCCCAGTCCCAAGAGAAATCATTGGATGCAGTCTGAGCCTCTACTTCCTGGGCATTATTTTGCTGGAGATATGTATGGCATTGGAGGACATTTAGCTAAATGCGCACTTCCTCACCAATTGGATACTCAGATCTACACTTCGCCTACCATCTCTCTGACCAGTTTGCTTGAAGAGGCAAGGCACAGTATTTCTATCTGAAGATGTTGCGTGGAGTGGATATGCCAGGTATAGATTTGGACCAGGACCCAGTCTGAAAGTATGTGTATCAGGATGTGTTGGGACCATTGGAGGAGAATTTAAAATGTTTTGTCGAATGTGATAA